AAAATCCAAATTCCAAAGCCTGAAATAATTTCTTTTTTAGGGACTTTCATTCCTTGATTGCTCTTAACAGCTAGTACTCAAAATTTTTATAAAAATTTAAGTTAACATTTCAACAGATGTGCAAACCCATTGGAAATCTAAATGTATTAGGGCATACTGATTTTTACAGCAAGTGATATTCTCTTCAGTTCATGTTTTACAGCAGTCTATAGATCGGTTAAAAACTGGATTTCTCTTCTTCATCTTTCTCCTATTTGGCATTCAGTGTGAAAACAGGCTCCTCCAGGGTTTGGAAACAGTTTGGTACCCCCATATTTAGTAAGTTTAGTAAACCCTGAAAAGCCATCAAGGATGGAAGGCAGAGTAGATCAAAACCAGAGACTCCATCGTTGTTTGATATTCAGATGGAAATATAAATTCCAGGAGGACGGAAGTGAAAGTGTAGGCAGGATTGGGGTTCACATAAAAATTCCACAGCACCTGGAGCTCAGGGCAATACAGTCAATAGTTATGTTGGTAATAACACTTTGTCATACTATTGATATATTACTAGTTCCTTGCTCACAATAATTAATTTGATACACACTCCCAGAGAAACTTGTCCCACATTGATTTTCCATATTACAATTTTATTCTCACATTATTCAGGGAAGTGTGTAGGTAGTAGGTTATGTCATATTATTATCCTGTATTGAATAGAAGACAAAACTTGGAAAGGCTGAAAACGTATGATTGAAATGAACATATGTGCAGGTGACGAACACAGTCTGTTAAATTTTTCTTGGAATCTGGCATCACAAGAACTTTATCTTTATGGTTCCTTTGCTGAGAATGTGGCAGTGATGTTTGAAACACCAAAAAGTATGAAAAAGTTTCTGATGTGGGACTTACCCTCTGTTCCTTGGGCTATCCAGGTTTGTTGGAAGATGAGCTCATTCATTCTCTTCATATTGAAATACACATTTGAAAAAAGTCCGGAGTGAGCAAGCGTGGATCTACATTTTGATATTAATGTGTTTACTTGTGATCAGATCCCAAGAATCCATTCATTTGGAAATTGACCAAATAGCCAGCTTATCCAGCAATATTTTGAATGTTTATCATTTGCTGCTTTGAAGTGGTAATGCTAATAGAATGTTTTATGCAGTATGTCCTGCTTTTTAATGGAGATTTTTCTCCCCTTGCAACAACTCTTAACTTCCAAGTCTACATAATGCCAATCATTTGTTTATTTATTTGGTTACTCCACAAATACTCCCTAATGCCTACTGTATCCACACAGGTAGTTTGTTAGCCTCTAGGGATTCAGGGATAGAATCAATACCAGCCCCTTACTCTAAAGTTGCTTTCAATTGAAAGGCGGGGACAGATAAGCTGTCAGGCAGTATGAATACAATAACAGAGGTCCGCACAAAATACCATTCCATAAGGTTTACAGAAACATACGTCCCTTTCACCAGTGTTTAACTTGGTCATTATTATTAGAAAATACCAGCATTTTACTTCAGGACCTCTGCAGTAAAACAGAAGAATGAAATGCCTTTTAAACTACCCAGTAAGTCAGCATACAATTTCTTTTTTATGATTTTTTTCACTCAAATAATAATCGTAAGTGTAGCTTAGCAGGTACTTTCTATGACCTTTCTCTAAACAAGTAAGACTACAGATTATTTCTAAGTGATCAATAATTGTTTTAACTGACCCCTCATGCAAATTCATTTTGGCAACAATACCTCATCCCAGACAGTTTTTTAGTTTATCATTTTAATTAAGTGTAGCCTTCTTTCACCTTATTGGTAACTGTTACTTTTCAGCAATTTCAGAGAGATTACATTTTAAAATAGTGTTTTAAAACTTCCCTGTAAGTGGTGGTGAGCCTTACATACCGCAGATTTTGCATTTCTGTGTAATTAGAGGGACCAAATATGAAATTTTTAAGCAACCAAAAATCCCCCCAGAAGCCAATAGAACCTTTATCTATAGATCTCTTTAAAATTATACCCATGGCTAGGCTTAAAGCCAAGCGTATAGATTAGGGGGATGGTAGTTTGGTCAAAATATTACCTACTCAAAAATATAAATGACAGCATTTTGCTTGCAATCCCAGAGTAAGGTTTTGCATATCCATTTTGAATAACTTTAGTGAAGTTAAGTGATTTGAAATTGAATGCAGTGGGGTAAGCTGGTGAGACAGCTCAAAGCTATTGCAGGTCAAGGAAATCATGAGAAGTGGAGTCATCCCACTCTGAATCCCTTTCATTGTAGACGCCAGTGCCATTGCCCTCAGAGTCCGGCTGCATCTTGTTATATGTATAGAAGTTTTAAAATCAATTTGATTTTCACTGGTATGATTCTCTAGTGTACTTAATATGCTATGGACGGATTTCTGAGAATAGTAAGAAGCACTTACACTTCTCATGAATATATAGCAGATGAGGCACTGTGATTTATTATTCCATTCTATTTCAGAACATGCTTATGATTTTTTTAAAAAAGGAAG